ATACAAAAGAATTGAAATAACCCCCTGTATCTTATCAGATCACCATGATTTAAAGCTAGAATTCAACAGCAATACAAATTGCAGAAAACCTACAAACTCGTGGAAATTGAATAACACCCAATTGCACCATTCCTGGATTGAGGAAGAAATAAAAAATGAAATTAAAGACTTCCTAGAATTTAATGAGAATGCAGACACAACATACCCAAACTTATGGGACACTTTGAAAGCAGTGCTAAGAGGAAGGTTCATGGCACTAAGTGCCCACATGAAGAAACTGGAGAATAGTCACACTAGAGAATTGACAGAACAACTGAAAGCTTTAGAGCAAAAAGAAGCAAACTCACCACGGAGGAGTAGATGCCAGGAAATAATCAACCTGAGGGCTGAAATCAATAAAGTAGAAAGTAGGGAAACACTACAAAGAATCAATGAGACAAAGAGTTGGTTCTTTGAGAAGATCAACAAGATAGACAAACCTCTATCCAAACTAATGAAAAGGCAGAGAGAGAGCACACTAATTAACAAAATCAGAAACAAAAAGGGGGATAAAACAACGGACACTGAGGAAATCCAGAGAATCACCAGGTTATACTTTGAAAACCTGTACTCCACAAAATTCAAAAGTCTAAAGGAAATGGACTGTTTCCTGGAAGACATCACTTACCAAAATTAAACCAAGAACAGATAAGCAGTTTCAATCATCCTATAACCCCTAATGAAATAGAAGCAGTCATCAAAAGCCTTCCAACCAAAAAAAGCCCAGGGCCAGATGGCTTCACTGCAGAATTCTACCAGAAATTCAAACAAGAGCTAATACCAGTACTGCACAAGTTGTTCCAAACAATAGAAGGAGAAGGGACATTGCCAAACTCTTTTTACGAAGCTACAATCACTTTGATACCCAAGCCACACAAAGATACAACTAAAAAAGAAAACTACAGACCAATATCCCTCATGAACATCGATGCAAAAATACTCAACAAAATATTGGCAAATCGAATCCAAGAACACATCAGAAAAATCATCCACTATGATCAAGTAAGCTTCATCCCAGGGATGCAAGGTTGTTCAACATACGAAAATCCATCAATGTAATCCACCATTATAAACAAACTGAAAAAGAAAAACACTTGATCATCTCACTAGATGCTGAAAAAGCCTTTGACAAAATCCAACATCCCTTCATGATAAAGATCTTGGAGAGAACAGGAATAACAGGAACATATCTAAACATGATAAAAGCAATATACACCAAACCTACAGCCAACATCAAACTAAATGGAAACTCAAAGTGATTCCTCTAAAATCAGGAACAAGACAAGGCTGTCCACTCTCTCCATATCTCTTCACTATTGTACTTGAAGTGCTAGCTATAGCAATAAGACAACAAAAGGAGATCAAAGGGATACAAATTGGAAAGGAAGAAGTCAAACTTTCACTATTTGCAGATGATATGATAGTCTACATACATAAGTGACCCGAAAAACTCTGCCAGGGAACTCCTACAGCTGATAAACACCTTCAGCAAAGTAGCAGGATACAAAACTAACTTAAAAAAAATCAGTAGCCCTACTTTATACAGATGATGAACGCAATGAGAAAGAAATCAGAAAAACATCACCCTTCACAATATCCACAAACAACATAAAATACCTTGGGGTAACGCTAACCAAAAAAGTGAAAGACCTGTACTGTAAGAACTTTGAGTCGTTAAAGAAATTAAAGAAGATACCAGAAAATGGAAAGATCTCCCATGCTCTTGGATAGGTAGGATCAACATAGTAAAAATGGCAATCCTGACAAAAGCAATCTACAGATTCAGCACAATCCCCATCAAAATCCCAACACAGTTCTTCACAGACCTTGAAAGAACAATTCTCAACTTTATTTGGAAAAACAAAAAACTCAGGATAGCCAAAACAACCCTGTACAATAAAGAAACTTCTGGAGGCATCGCCATCACTGACCTCAAGCTCTATTAT